CCGAATATCGGTATCGGTGCATCTCTAATTATAATGTGTTTCTTTGAGTATGGTGGACTATACACTGCTGAGGTATGGTTTTTAGTTTGCCATTACAGTACTCAAGAATAATTATGGAGGGTGTTTAGAGCCCAGACACTGATTTTCATGGGTGACTTTGACAGATGATTTTAATGGTAGCTGGTATCATTTTAAATTGTAATTTATATAATCATTTAAATGACATGTTTATTTGTTGAATATTGTCACACAACACCCTCCATAAATAATAAGTAGGTTAGTGTGCTATATGGAAAGCAGTTAAACAATTGTAAGTGTATTTAGGTGTGAATTGTTGTTTTGTGAGACTGCTTGCGTCTGATTGGATACAACTCTGACTCCTCTCACAGGCCAGTGAGAACAACCAGACAGTAGAAGAGCAACAGAATGACCAGAATGCTTTGCGGGAGGAGCCACAGCCAGGAATTATGTGCACACCAGAGGAAATGCCCCTGAAGTCCACCTTAGACGAAGAAGACAAAGGGCTAGGGGACAGTCTGCCCAACACCACCAGCTCGTCGCAAACCAGCTTGCCACGCGACAGCCCAGAATTGTGCAGGCCGCTGCCGAAAGAAATGGTGAGAGCTGGTGCCTGTGTATTATTTACACCTGTTTACGTTTTTTTGTCTAGTGTGCGGTTCATCTGTCCAAAGCTACACTGTCAGTTAATATTTATTTGTTTTTTGTTTATAGGATTACCCGAACGAAAAACTAATTCCAGCGAAAAATCTCAATGGTAAGTTTTGGAATTGCTTTTGTGTTTTATTATGTTAAGACCACACAGTAGTTTTAAATGGCTTGTTTGTTTGAATTACTGCAGTAGGTATATTTGGCATACCGTGAGTAGATAATGTGATTAAGATAATAGCAAATAAAATAATTATAATACTTTTATGAATATAAAAATGACTGAAACCTTCCCCTCCTTTATTCCTAGGGGAAGACGCCCTGAAGAAAAGCTTTGATATTATTGGGGAATGTCTGGATGCACATATTTATAACCGGTTTTTCCGGAATATAGGGCTGAGCGATAATGCCATAAAAAATGCTACCAGCTCTAATCCTGCGGACAGAGTTTATGAACTCCTTACGACCTGGATGCAGCGAGAAGGGCGAAAAGCTGATATTAATTACCTTATTCAGATATTGATTAGTTTAAATCAAAGATTATCAGCCGAAAGCATTATTACAAAGGTAATTGAAGATGGACTTTATAAGTATGATGACCAGTGCTCGTAAACGCATGGCTTCACGGTTACTTGAAAAACTTGAAACATGTTGGAACTGAGCCCTTGAAATTACCTCAGGTATAAGTTCTACTTGGGAAGGAAAGGCAGTGCTGACCTTTCCCCAACATTCACTTGGAGCCCACTTGCCAGTTGCACACTGTCTCCATCAGTTGTGGTCAGGGCTATTACTGTGTGAACAGGACTGGATATACACTGGTTTAGAATAAGCAGCATAGCCAAAGGCACTTTTCAGTACAGTATATCCACTGAGCTGTTTTCCGATGGGCTGTCATCAGGCGCAGATCTTCTGCCAGTGCTGTTAACCTTTCCATCAGGTGTTTCGAAGACTTGTCTCTGCCCATGGTACAATAACTTGCATGTGCCTGTAAGTTTAGTATCAGGTCGGTCTTTTCATTAAAACCAGCATTATTATCCATAGCTGGCTTTTCTGTAATAGGTGTCTTGTTTTATTATTTTTTTTTTAGTTCCCTCACAAAGATGTTTGCTTTCATAATTTTTATTTATATGTCAGAATTTCCAATTTTTTTTTTTTTTTAAAAACTCAAGCACAATTCCCCCAACTATGATTGCTTCGGGAAGCTAATCCTGCTATTATGTGTTATTTTGTAAATTTAATAGCTATTTGTTTTATGGATGGAAGTTGATGTAACATTCTTCCAATACATATAGCAATGCTTCTTGTACGGTCCAATATTTATTTTGACAAAATATTTTATAAATGTTTGTCTTTTAACTTGTTTTTTGTTGTTTGACTTTTTTATATAAGAATGTATATTTTCTCTTAGGTCCTGTACATTCTTAAATAAAAATAATGAATAATACATGTAGAAAATGTCTTGGTGTTGGGTCAGTGGGAAGCTGGGTGTTCAGTAGTTATGCATGCAATTTAACACATTTATTGCATATAGAAAGTATATCCATGATTTTCAATTCAGAAAAAAATCTTTTTCCATTAAGTGGATGGTATTTTGAAGCATTTTCATCATTACCTAAAACTGAGAGACATCACTTATGTGGCACAGTGCATAGAGAGTATCACTGTAGCTTCATGTCTCCAGGCCTGAGAGTTCAGATCCCATTTCTGCTGTGTTTTTATTTTATTTAGTTTTGATGTTATATCCCTGTGCTAGTCCAAAGACACGCAGTCAGACAAATTTCACTTGCAAATTTGCCTGTAGTGTATGATTGTGTGCGTGCGTGTGTGTGTGCGCGCGCGCGCATGCGTGCCATGGACTGGCATGCTATCATTTCCCTGCCTTCTGTACTGCCTGTGTTCTGTACTGCCTGTGTTCTGTACTGCCTGTGTTCTGTACTGCCTGCGAGAAGCTCCATGATCCATATCCCTATATGGATAGATGATGAATGGACAGACTAAAAAAATATTTTGCCATGAAGTACACAGCATGCCTTTATTAAGCACAAGAATAGATAAATGCATTTCAGATGACACCTCAAGCCATAAAGTTATGTTCAACTTTAATGATTGTGATTAATTCAGAATAAAAAGAACTGAACCAGAAAAACTCTTTTACAGGTTGCATTTAAGAATGGATTCAACAGTGGAGAGGATTCAAGATCTTTACTGGCCAAATGCGACAGGTGCATTGGAATGCTTAGTTGTTCAGCCTCACTCGGTTATGCAAGTCAGTGCAAGATAATACAGACTGTGCAAAATATAGAAAACAGTGCTAAACTAACATCATTGGCAGATAAAACAGAAAAAAGCTGAGTTTTCTTTCAGAGAAGGTAGAAGGATGGTGCTGATCCATACATACACTGGTCTTAGATTCTGTAATTATTTTTTAGAAATACAGCCCCTCCTAGTTCTAGTTCTTGCCTAGTTAAGTCTTTTTTTTTTTTTACCAGATTAGATGAGCAAACCAGAAATAAGCTCAAATCACTGAGATCACCAAGAATTCAGTGGCCGTTTCTAAAGAGCTGCAGGCGGTTTTCTAGAAGAATGGTAAATGAATGTTATGCTTGTTACAGCAATATCCCAAGCTCCATATAAATCTGGTTCTGCAGGGAGCTGTCAAGAAGAAAATTGCTCAAAAAAACCATATTGAGACTTATTTAAAGTATGCAAAACAACACTCTGAGGACTGTGAAGTCATTTGGGGAAAGTGGTATTGTGGTTTGGTGAAATCAGTTACTTGGGCTCAGTGTAAGATGCTGGTTTTAGTGAAAAGGAAATGCAGTGCATCATCCCACCATTGCAACTGTAAAACTAGTTGAGGGCGAGAGCAGCTGGTCGCCTCTCCAGCGGAGTCTTAAACAGCTGAAAGTCAGATGTTCCCTCAGGATAACGACCAGGAAATAGGTGAGGAAAAGTCCTACAGAGAATGAGCCAGTGGAATGTGAAAATGGTCTGGAGTAAATTAACAAGGGAACCTAAATGTCATAGCTACTGGTAATGACACCAAATGGGAAAGTTATTTGTGATGAAGTTCCATGCTGAAGTTTCCTGCTATAGAAAGTATTTCTACTATAATCAAACTTAAAAAATAGAAGTGTGCTACAAAGTTCTTCACATTGAGCTTTTCTACAAATGGGTCAGCTGATGCTTCTGTATGACTTAGGTGTGTAACATTAGTCATGTTTGCTGAAAAGACTTCTAAGAAATTCTCTGTCATGTTTACCTGCAGTAAGGGCATGTATTTGTACTATGATGGAAAACGTTATTTTGTTTGATTATCAATCACATTTCAAATAGAGAAATAGCTAGGTAATGCATAGTGTAACAAATTTTAAAATTGTTTTCTGGCAAACCACGTTTACCTCATGTTTACGGGACTGCAGCGCCCCCAGTGGAGCAGGCTGGTTTAGCACAGCTGCTCAGATGGATAGAAAATTACCACTTGCTCTTCCATTCTTTGCTGGCCACACACTTTAGAAATTGTGTTTAGGTTACCTTTCTACCTATATCCATCCATTCATGCATCTGCCCATTCATTCATTCATACATTATAGAGCCGCTTATGCTTATAGAGCCACTTATCATAGTTCCACCTAAATTAAATATATATATATCTCAAATATTTATATAAATGGAATAATATGAGGTGAAAATACCTTTTATTACAGATTACGAACACATGGAACATTTATATAAAGTTTTACTATAGACTTAGGTTCACAGAATATACTGTTGGTGAACATAATTTAAAACCAATCAGACTGAGAAAATCATGATTGTCCTTAGAAATAAAATAAAGTATTTTAATTACAGATGTACAGATGTTGGGTGGGGTGGGTGTTTTTGACTCCCTAGGACTGAAACTTATATTAAATTGATTTCCTCTGCTCCATTACTACTTAACAGTAAAGAGCATGAACTGCTGGAATTACCATTAACATTTAGACTTCATTGCATCAAAATACTACACAGAGAAACTTCTACAGTTTATGGTACAGTTAATGGTACAGTTTCCCGTTTACTGTATACTGATTTCCTGTCTTTTCCTTTGTATTCATGTTCTGGACTAATATTGTCTGTGTCTTTCTCCATTGTAAATGGTGATCTGTCTTCTGGGTATGCAGTGGTATTCACTTTATTCATTAATTTTTGGTTTTCTTGTCATTCTTGAAATTCACTTTCAGGTGGTACCTTATTGTGATTCTCAGGGTCATTTCCTTTGTTACTGCACATTTTTATTATGGGTTGGGAAGGTTCTTGTGCCTTTTCATGCTTATTCTCCACATCAAATGTTGTTATATCAGAGGATATCTGCAGGCTTTGTGTGTATCTCTTCTTCATTTTGCTGGAATAGTGTGTTTTTTTCTATTGCACCTTGCTCATTCAAGGATTGTAGGGATGTATTAGATACTGCAGCTTCTTTTATCTCTATCTCCAGGCTGTAAGCTTTCACCCACACCTTTAGGTGTATTATGTGTCGTTCCTGTATCTCCTTTGTGAAACACCCCTTTTTGATGAATTGTCTTGTTTTGGAAATATTTGTTCTGTTACCAATATTTAAAAAATGTCCTTTAATTTGACAAATTCTCTGCCCAAATTGTCAAGTGGCATATATTCTGTATCAGTCATTAGCTTAATCTCTAAAATGAGTTATTTCTTTGTCAATATGTATATCTTCATTCCACTTTTCTTTTTGGTCTTTGATTTGTTTTTCCAAAATTATTCTAGTACTGGACAAAGGATTGGATGAAAGATCATTCTCTCTTCTCTTTTGAACGATCACAACTACTCCTGTTGCTTTCTGGCCAACATGCACCTCAAAGTGCTTTTCCAGGTCATGTTGTGTAGTTGCTGTCTCATGGTTGCAGAAGATTCTCACTGGCCAAACAGTAAGAAATTCCTCAGATCCCGGAACACGAAGGGCCCATGAGAGCGGAGGGGTAACATGCGGACGCAGGTCCCGGTGTTATGCCGAAAAAGGTATCCCTGCCGTAGAATGCATGCCTGTCCCTAAATGACCGATTGGTCGCTGATCTGAAACGAGTTGAGCTACTTTGTCGAGTAAGGCTACCGTAGTGCTAATCAATAGCCCCAAAAAAACCCATAAAACCCTAACCCTAACCCCCAAAACACCCCTAAAATCCTAACCCTAACCCCTAAAAAACCCCTGACCCCCAAAAAACCCTTAAAAGCTCAACTCGTCGGAACACCGGCATGCATTCTAAGGCAGGGATGCCTTTTTCGGCATAACACCGGAACGCGAAGGGCACATGAGAGCGGAGGGGTAACGATGCAGGAGCAGGTCCATAATGAGAATTGTTATTATTATTATTATTTTTATTTTTTATCTATTATTGTTGTTGTTGTTAATAATAATGATAATAATAATATTTTTGTTAAGAGCACTGCCAATAAACACTTAAGCAACATCACAACTGAAATGCATGAATAGAACAGAACGGAACCTAAACTAATTTTACACTTGTGCCAGTTTTTTTAAGTTTTACTATTTTACAGTCATGAATATTCCAATCGATGCGTAAGGAAATTTAAATGTGACATTTGCTACTAATTAGGTACTTTTCTACGAAAGGGTGGCATTGGTGGCACAAACGGGAGGTAAAGGTCTTGAAGTGAAGCACCTTAAAGAGGTGCTGATTCATGTGCAGGTTTTAACCTTTCACAGTATCATTTACTCATGATACCATATATGGTATTACAATCATCTAGAGGCGTTATAGGTGTGCTTGTTTAAAGAAAAGATAATTGGATAATTGTAGGGCTGTTTGGGGGGGTAAGCACACCCACGTGGGAACAGGTTTTACGAAATGATGGGGAGGGGCAAGTAGACAGGCATTTGGAAACAAAATGGACATTTCAAGCAACAGTTTCTGGACATGTGATCTGGAGCAAAGCAACAAAATAGGCATCTAATTTATCTTGCTGACAGTTTGCCAGCAATAAATGAATGGGCTTGTCACATGACTACGCCTTGTCCCTCCACACCCAACAAAAAACAATCAAATTATGGTGATAGGAAAACACAAAGTAGAAATAAGCTGCAAACAGCTGTGGGACTGGGGGGCATTTTGGAATGTCGGAAGGGCATAGGTTTTCAAATTGTGTCAGAGGTCTTGGGGGGTCCCTGACCTGGGTGGGACGGTTGTGAAATCCGTAGCCATGCTCCTGGCTGGATGGAGGCATTTTTTTGGTTTATAATAAACATATTTTATAGGTATCATCAATGATGCAAACATACTAATCACAATGCATGTTTTGCCACTCAGTGTATCTGAAATTGCTTCTTGAATCTTTTCTCACATCGCAAGTGTACATATGCACAGTTTGTATCTGCTATATACTATATTAATAAAAAGTATTTTTTGTTCAGGTTAATTCTAATTTGCAGTTTTAAAATGTGTTTGTTTTGTTCCAGTGATCCACCTTTCTATTTATTATTTATAATTTCCAGTGACAAGCACCCAGCAGTTTAATTGGATATCTGTAAATGACTTTGTTTAACTAATACTTTTATAGCTTTGGATTGTTCACATTGTCTGGATTGCTGTGCTCATCCTGACAGAGAAACCACTTACGACATAGTGTGGGAAAAATCAGCGGTGGTAGTGCAGGAAGGATTTGAGGCACATCTGGGATTTGTTGTGTTCCGGACACCTTAAATTGCTATTCTTATGCTAACTGAGGCATGTTTTTCAGACAGGAAGTACTACAGTTAATAATATTTGAGCCTGCAGAGGCAGGGTACTCAATGTGCAATTTGAAGAACAGCCTTTTTTTCTCTCAACTGTTCAATTAATTCACATTATATTGTAGTAAAATAATAATCCCTGTAGTCTCAACCACTATGGTCTTTGGTCCAGACTGTTGTTTTGAAAATAATGTCCACTTGCACAAATAAGGGACATTGCAGTGGCTCAGTAGGTTGTGGGGTCAGTTCTGACTGTGTGCGAAATTTATTTGCTCTTACTTTGCTGACCTCTTGCAATCCTACTCTTGGGTCTCTTAAGTCTGCTGATGAGATGCTCATGTTGAGGTCTAGACTGAAGCTCAGGGGCACCTACACTTAGGCTTTGCGACATCACATCCCCTCACATTAGGTCGACACCAACACTTAGGCTTTGGAACATCACACCCCCTCACATTAGGTCGACACCAACACTTAGGCTTTGGAACATCACATCCCCTCACATTAGGTCGACATCTACACTTAGGCTTTGGAACATCACATCCCCTCACATTAGGTCGAGACCAACACTTAGGTTTTGGAACATCACATCCCCTCACATTAGGTCGACATCTACACTTAGGCTTTGGAACATCACACCCCCTCACATTAGGTCGACACCTACACTGAGCATTTTTAAATTCAGGTTGAAAACTAATTTCTCTTTTGTGGCTTTTAAAAAGCAGAAACATCTTTCATTTATTTTATTGCGTCTAATATTTTGTGCTCTTTTTCTCATGACTCATCTTTTATGTCGTTTTTGGATCTTTTATTCTGTTATTGTTCTTGTTCCTATTTGTGTTAGAATAGTTGGATTTTGTGAAGCACTTTGGTCAACCTCTGTTATTTTAAATACACCTTGATTGTGATTGATTGCTTATTCCCACAGGTCAGGTAAAATGATTCTTAAGGGATTTGTTGCATAATTGTTTGCTATTTAATTCCAGCCTCAGTTACCCCATTATGATCTGCCTGTCATGTCTCCGTTTGGCCAGCAGAAGGCGCAGGCCATCCGTAATCAACTAATTGTTCTCCACCTAATGTGAAAATCACCCACACCTGGCTTTTGTTACTCTCTCGTTATCTGCGTATATGTGTGCCTATTCACACTGTGTCTCACACCTTGGTCATTGTTACTGTTATGGATGTTTTGTGTGCCTCATGTTCATGGTGTCTGCTATTCCTACAGTGCTCCCCTGTGTGCCAGTTTGCCCTGCTCCTGCCTCATTGCTCCTTACTGACATCTGTTGAGACCCCTTATGGTCCTTTGTTTTCTGCTTCTCTGTTTGTCATCCCTATGAGGCCCTTTTCTGTTCACCCTAATGCTCCATCTGGGTCACGACTCTCCCATCAGGTGTGACACCCTGTACTGCATAAGTGGTTGAACCGGTAAGTTTACATATCATGTTGTGTGGAATATTAATAATTGTATTTTGTAATGTTTCTGATCTGAAGGTGTGTTTGTATTTTTCGATTAAAGGGACATTTTGCAGAAATGAATATGTGCTTTTGTGAGACTCTTTTTATAATCATACAAGATATAATGGTGACAAGAAAATTGTTGCCAAATGAGATGCTTCTTCACTGCCCCTGGTGAAGCTGGAAGGCTGCACACCAAAGCCCCTCACTGGATGTATCAACAGGGCATTAGGTATCACCAGGGGCGGATTAAGGTGTACAGAGGCCCCTAGGCTACAGTAGTCTGTGGGCCCCCCAACCCCACCCCCCTCCGTGCCAATGGGGGCCCCCTTGCAGGCTGGCACACGTGGGGCCCCTAGGCTTAAGCCATATCTAGCCTGTGCGTTAATCCGCCCCTGGGTATCACATATTATGCATTGTGTTTCTGCTTTTAATATCTAATTTTCTGTTTTTCATAATTGTACCAAAACGGACTGCACTGTTATGAAATCGGTTATCAGTTAATAAATGCTTATTTAGCTACTTGTTGCACTGTCTAGTTTTGCAACATTTTACAAATCCCAGTCCTCACAGGATAAGGAGTTTACTGCAGTCTTGAAATTTGGTTTTCGCTGTTTATTTAAAGGCTGCAGAGTATGGAGATTGTTATGGGGAAAAAAAGCTTATTTGATGCCCCAATGACGCTTATCTCTAAATCACTGCTGCAAGTTAAGGCTTTCAAAGACTCGCGCATTGGTTATTCCTAAATTTTTCTGACTTTCAAATTTCCAGTAGGGCACTTGGGTGCTGTAAAGAAATTGGCTGTAAAATCCTTGTATTAATAGGGATTGTATAATCAGGCCGTTCACCTAATGATCGGGATGTGAGCTCATCCAATGGCAATAAGACTTCTCGTAGTGACGTAGTCAATGCACCATCTAGCGTACAAAACAGACATTGCAAATATGAACAGAAATGGCAGCGAAGAACAGAAACGGCTTGCCATGAACGTGGAGTTCTTACTATTATTTGGAGTTCGCTTACGTGTATTAATTGTACTTTCATCAAATGTAATCTTGTTTATGGCACTCAAAATTTTAAGTGAGACTGTGTAATGTTTGTCTTGCATGAGACTAATTCCACGTACATTGTACTGCACTTGGTGTAAAAAGTTGATTCTGATTTACACATTCATATTCCATCACCCTGGAAATGTAAGGACACATGTGAGTACTTCATATGATCAAATGTTTTTAGACTAATGCTTCAGAGGCTGAAGAAAAACCCTAAAACTACGGTTAGATATAATGAAACGTTGCCAAACAGCCGGTGTAACATTTACTAGTTAAAATTCTTTAACGAATTTCAAGATTTTCCGCAATTAATTTTTTTCAGGTGCTCAAGTCATACTTTAATTCTTATATTTATTTTCCCGCATCCTTTTACTTAAAATACATGATTTTCAATAAAAAAAAAACGCGTAGCTAAACTCTGATTGGACGAAATGCATTTATTCACTTCAGTCAGCCAATAAAAATCGAGTGCGTTAATACGTCCCTACAGGAGAGGGGCGTCGTGGACATCAGGATTGTTCCGAAAGCGCAGGACGCGGATTTGTGCATGTCGCAATGACGAAAGCACACAGCGCCTTCCCGAGAAGCGACATGTTTCGCTTGAATAAACTAAGAAAAAGCCAATAGATTCCAGTGTTCGAATGCGACCTTTTCCACGGGAAATGGCGGCTTTTATTGTAAGTGTGTCAGCGGGTGAATTTCTAAGGGATTACAAGCCGTTGCAAACACAAATATGTGTACTAAAAACGTACTGGCAAGGCCTTGTGTTTACGTTTAGCTACCTACTGTACTAAGCTTCATTGCTGAAATAGCGCTGACACTCGAGAAGTACGGTACACATGGAACTTTTGTCTTTTTCAAATTATCTTTTTCCAACATGTAGGCGTTGTATAGGTGGTTCTACACTGAGTGGATATTAAAATAAGTGTGTTTATGTCGCTGTAGCTAACAAGCTAGCTGAAGTTATTCAGTGGAATGTGCAGAAACACCGATGTTGGATAATATGGGCTTTCGTAAACTGCCCACACGTGCGCAAGATCTATTTACCATTGGCCTTTTGCAAATGTATATGAATATTTGTTACAGTGCTGAAAGCACTGAATATTTAGTAAGGTCTGCAGAGTAAACAGTACTGGGGGCTGGCAGATTATAGTAACATCCACGAATCACATGACGATCCACGTTGGCTTTCTTTACATACCTGTGTGTTGAGTGCACTGCAAGTTGAACTGATCTGTTTTTGATCTTCCTGCTTAAAGTTACTTTTTGGTGCTTGTGATTTTTATGATTTTTGCTGTTCTCTTTTTGATAAGGCACATCCCTCAGTAAGGATCAAAGGAACTGAGCAAATCTACAATCCAGTTCTGTGCCAGGATGAGAAATGTGCTGCCAGGGCTAAGGGCAGCCACATGCACTGTCCCTTCTGCAATGTTGCCGAGGCGTACCAGGACCCGGTGATCTTGCAGGCCCATTACAGAGTCAAACATGTAGACAAGGGCATTGATTTTTCTGGTAAGCTGTTACTGAACCCTTACCAACCAAGTAAGCAGATCCATCCCCTGGTTTCTGACAGACCCTCTCAAAAATGTAAAACATCTAGTAAAATGGCTTTTATTACCATATTTGCTTCTTCAAGTTATTGATCTAATTACGTTTCTAAACAGTTTTTTTCAGGATTATTAAAAAAAGAATTCCTGTATCAGCAGATTGTAAAGGAACTAAAATAATTTGAATAAGTAATGCTTTTTGCATGCTATTTAAATTTGTTGTATTCTGATGTGTATGCATTTGAAATTGTAGATTAAGTCCCAGTTTGTAGTAACCTAGTAATTGGCCTTGAAAGTGTCTCAGGGTGTTTTTCCACCGCACCAGGTACTGTACTTTTGGTACTTCGAGAAAGTACCAGAAGTACGATACTTCAAGGGGTTGGTTTCCACTGGTGTAAAAACTGGTACTCAAGGGGGGTATTTTGTACTGAATTCGAAAAATGGCTGTGGTATATTATACAGCTTGGTGGTGTGCAATATTAGTACCAACATCGCATGTTATGCACATACAATTCTTACATCACTAGTGAGCTTTATTAAAATAAGGCTTTTTCTTACTTTCAATCTTGTACGGACATAATAGCACAGGGGGTTAAGGTTTCACTAAAACAATTTTACTCTCATAGGAAAAAAAACTTTACAATTTTAATTATTCCTTTTATAGATTCTTATATGTTTAAAAATTGGTTTAAAGTTTTACCTAGTGCTGGATGCCTTCTCCGAGACAATCGTAATCATTTTTATCCTTGCCGCTTAAGTCACTTGAAGACGGGTTTGTGAGAAATTTATGAACTCATTTTTTTGTTTTATAAATACCCTAATATTTATCACAACAAAATCACATCGTTATATTTATAGCAGAATCACTTTGCTAGGATTAGTATATTCAACAAAATACTTTTAAATTTCTTATGTCATCTGGATATTTTTGTTGTATGTGTTCTTATAACGAAATCACTTTTTTTTTTTTTTTAACTTAGTTTTTCATTATTTTCTGAGTTTGCATCTGTTTTCAAGGTGGCATTTGTATTGTGTTTTAGCGGCAGGCTATCTGCATAACCAATTGACAAAGAAAGCGTTTCAAGTCCCACCCCAAAGTACCAAAGAAGTACCCCAGCTGGTGTGGCACTTTCTGTACTGGAACTTGTGATACTGGTACTCGATTGGAATTCAATGGAAAAGCGAAAGTACTAAAAGTACGGTAGTTGGTGTGGTGGAAAAGTGCCATAAAATGACTCTTTTTATTGTTTATTCAAAGTTTTTTCAATGGAAAGCCTTGTTTATTGTTATAGTTTAGGGAACATATAGATTTTAAATGGACAAAATTAAGTAAAATAGCTTTTGGTAGCATTGAAACTGTATAATAATTTTTACTCTGGCATTAAGTATCCCTATGCAGTCAGAGGTAGTACTCTTCAGAACCACTTAAACTGTTGACTGGCGTGTTTTCTGCACGCCACTGTTGTACTGAGCTGTTAATTTTGCACCTGTGGCCTTCCTGTTAGCTGGAATCTGGCCACTCTCCTCTAACCCCTCTCATTAACAGGGTATTTTCAGCAAAATGACTGCTGACTGGATTTTTGTGTTTTCTTTTTGTTTATTGCACCACTCTGTGAACTCTATGTAGCAGAAGAAAATTCAAGGAGGGTGGCTATTTCTGAAACGCTGGAATCGTCATGTCTGACACCAAAAATAATTTCAAGACTTTTTATTGTCATTGTACAGTTGTCTGGACAACAAAATTCACGTTTACGTTTTACACATGTCTTATGTAACTGAACCCTGTTCGCATCATATATATATATATATATATATATATATATATTAGTGCTAGTACATCTAAAGGTGTAATTTTGGCAATAAATATACTAACCTTTTCAAGAAAGCCAAACTGCCGTAGTACCTACAGAATATGTGTAGTAAGATGTTTCTTTTGCCTGCATTAATGCCTTTGTTCTGTGTGTTTTTTTGCTACAGGCTTAAAAGTGCTGCGGTGTTGCAACCACTGTGAGATTGTTGGCACAATTAAAGGTGAGAAGAAGTTCAAAGGGGCCCACTGGCACTGTTACCGGTGCCGAAATGGCTTCAACCGCAGGGATGAGGCCGTCAAGCATTACAAAACCCACTTCCGCAACCCACACACCACCTTTCAGATCCAGATCACCCAGGTATGTTCCGAGTGGCCAGGACAGGATCTAACCATCTATGGCCTCAGATAGTCCGATGTTTATTCAACCTAAACTAATTATAGTTATGAATCATAGCAATGTTTCTTATGCAAGCGGCTTGTTCCCTTGATATAGATTTGGCCATTAAGAGTGTGGTGTTTGGAGGGGGGGGGCTCAGTGTTTAGTGCCGCAGTCTCTAACTCATTTATTTAGCAGGTACTTTTGTCCAAAGTGACATACAACTAAGCAGATGGTGGTTTACAAGCATGCAGCAAAGCCGATTGATCAGTTACCATTTTAAGCAAGAGGTATAAACTGTTACAGACATAAGTACCTATGCATTCAGCAAATGCAAGAGACCAGCTCAGTGATTACAGGTGAAGACAGAACTAGACAGGGGTTGGAGGGCTGCTTTAGCTGGTCTTTAGCTGTGTCTTGAAGGTTGAGAGGGATACCGATGACTGGAGATGGACGGGAAGCTCATCCCACCATTGAGGAGCCAACGCCTGGAGTCAGACTTCTCACAGAGTGGTGTTCTAAATCCATCACCCTGATTCCGAGCTCTGCTGTATACAGGAGGTGAACAACCGGCAGTATTATGAACAGAACGCAGAGGCACATCCAAAGGCTTACGGTGGCCTGGCGATCTCCCCCGGCACCAATGGGGAGTGCTGCACCATTGGTTCAATGCTGGCTCAGACTGTAATTAACACGTCAACAAGTGCAGAATCCCTTCTCAGAGAGGTGCACAAGGTAGGTTATGACTCAGAAATGGGAGTACCTCCGTTTTTGCAGTATTAATTATATCGAGCTGCTGCCTAAATAGGTAACTATTAGATTTCTGATGCACTCAGTGAAGTGAGCATTTGTTTGAACGTTTTTGTTATATGGTGGTTTATTCCAATTATGGCCTGTGATTTGCGTGGTTGAAGGACAGCAGTGTGAACAATGGGATGATGGTGGGAGCCGAGGAGACGGTGGGGCCTTCCCAGCAGGCCTCAGGTCGTGAGACACTGGTACTGATGAATCCCAGTGGGGAGAACGACAGTCTGGTATTCGAAGAAACATCCAGCATCATTGCCGAGCAGGTACTACAACACAGAAGGCTGTCAGCCAACTCAAAAGATCAAAGAATATCAATGAACTCTTTATTTATATTTTTATCTGCATAATAATTATATAATTTTATATTTATATATCATATACTGTGTTGGGCAGGTTACTTTTGAAATGTGATGGGTTATAGATTACTAGTTACCCCGTAAAACAATGTCATAAGTAATGTAACTCTTTTTATTGTTTATTCAAAGTAATGTAACATTACATTTGATTACTTTTTGGTTACTTTTTTAACAAATGTTTTAAACTGGACAGTAAAACTAAAAAGTCCCAACAGCTTTTGTTGACCCATGTTGGCTGGAAATATGCCAAGAGAAGGCATTTCTGCACGGCGAAAAGATGCAAAACAACAAAATTAATGTTATATTCTATATTTGTATATATGATGCAACCCCCTTGTAATCACCAACATTTTAATTAGTAACTGTAATTTAATTGCATTTTTTCTCAGAGTACAGATTACAATTATATTTATTTTGTAATTTACTTACATAACACTGTTACTTATGACCGGTTACTTCCCAGCACTGATAATATACACACAAATTTATATCATATACACACACATGCATGTACACACACACAAACTGAATAATATTATTTTAGGTTTCCTGACATTTTCCTGTAATATTACTTATGATTAAACAAAGAGATGTTAAATTGCATTTAAAATAAATATTACTTATAAAAATTATAAAAAGTTTTAAGAGGAAAAAACAGAATATAGGGCAGGCTTTGGTGATTATGCTCCAAATCTGAGATACTGAAAGTCAGCAGTTGCCACTTAAATGACACTCTTTATGTCCCATGAAAGTTACAATAGAAGATTGTTCTTTTTTTAAGAAGGGGTGCATGTGTGCCAGTAAAAATAGCTCTGTGGGGCAGCTTTCGCACAGGTCAGCTCTAGGGGTGCGTTTGTGGTTTCCTTTAAAAATATGAAATTCATTAGACATGTGGATTTCTGCAGAGCAGGACAGCATAGCTACAGCAGCGTTTTTGCTTTAAGGCTTTTCTGCAATGTGCTGTAGGGTGGGGAGAACCTGGAGCAGAATCTGCTGCTGGAGCGGCAGCTTCTGGAACTACATCAGCAGAACCAGGCGCTGCAGCAAGAGAAGGACCTCATGGAGAAGAAGCTGCAGGCTGAGATCCAGCAGCTGAAAGACCATGTAGGTATCACAGTCAGTTCCAATCTGTCAAAAGGTAACATTTCACTTACTCTTTGAAGACCATTATAATCCTTTATGAGTGATGCTGTCATCAAGATGAACAATGACATTTTCCCTACATGTGTAAATTGTGTCCTGGGAAAGGAACCACTAACAAATTGGGATATTGAAATTCCTTTTTCTAGTATTACTTTGACATAATGTAGCACATATTGAAATGAGTATTCCTGTCATTTGTATTGCCCCGCACAGCTAATTCTCGGACTGAAATGTAATACGTGTGTGTGTGTGTGTGTGTGTGTGTGTGTGTGTATATATATAAACAGTGAACAAAAACATTAATATGAAATACATAATGTTTGGAGAAAATGTTGAATATTTAATAAAAACAATTCCTGCAAAAGTGTTATATCTTCGGAATAGTTTATCTTGTCAAAAACATTTGTGGGAATTATTTGCACCCTTGAAGAATACTATAAATAAGACCAAATAAATTTGCATCTTTGGGTAAAAAAATGTTTCTTGATGTTGCTTTTAGTGTTTAGGAACTTTTGCTGTGTAGGAACTATTGTCTATGGCCATTTCCTGTTTCACTGGGGTATAAATATGAGGTAACACACAATTCAAATCCTTTTGTCATCCATTAATATGGGTAAAACCAAAGCTGTCAACTCAAATGAGAAAAAACAGTTGTTAAGCTGCATGGACTTCTGGTCGAGTACCAGTACCGAAAGTGCCAAACCAGCTGGGGTGCTTCTTTGGTACTTCGGTACTTTGGGGTAGAACTTGCAAACGTATTTTCCGTCAATTGGTTATGCAAATTGCCTGCCGCTGAAACACAAAATACAACCGCCATCTTATGAAACACACAGCGAACAGCGACAAATGAAATAAAAAGTAGTAGAAACAAAAATTATAAAAAAAGTTAAATGGAAGGACAGACAAACGAGGAAACACAGGCTTTAATCGCGATATGGTCGGATGAACAGATCCAGCGGGATTTGGATGGCAAATAAAAAAGTATTTGCCGTAATAGCAAGCCGCTTGGAAGAAATGGGGCACATGTGAAACATTGAACAATGCCAGGTCAGGGGTGGTCACTGATGATGTCATTTGGCTCCGGTACCAGTTTTTACGGCAGTGGAAAACAGACACAAAAGAAGAACCATACTTTCGGTACTTTAAGGAAGTACCGAAAGTACGGTACCTGGTGCGGTGGAAAAGCGCCCAAAGAGGAGCCCAAAGATTAGTTGAATCTTGAGGATTCCGTGTTTCAAGGTCAACTGTGAGACTCCACCTCCATGACCAGAAGCCTTATGGATGAGAGGCATGAAGGAAGCCTCTCCTGAGACCAAGACACAAATCCCAGCATCTCTACTTTGCCAAACAACATTGGAGATGCAACAAATGTTCATGTTCATAAAGGGGAACTTTGACAGTAAAAGCACTAGATTTGCCCAATTATTTAAGCATAAAATACCACCCATTGCATGTGTGGTTCCTTTTATATGTATATTTTTACTTTTTTTTTTAATGAAGGGTGACCATGTTTAAGCTATGAATGTGTTGTATCATTTCTAAGGAAGGTCTCATCTCTGCTTATTTGGCAGATGGTCAGTCTGGTGCAGGCGAATGTAAAAATGTTTGAAGAGCTGCAGTTATACCGCAGTGTCGAAGGGAGTGAGGAGAAGATCACTAAGCTTGTGAGTACTGCCTCATCTGGGCAGGAGTTTTAGTAAATTCTGATAAGCTATTCACTCGTACAGTTATTTTTAGGCATTTAGTCACTTTTTTGGCCTTCTGTACAAATTTAGATCATTGTGAATAAAATCTCTCTTCTCATTAAAATTCACATTTGCTTTGTGTCCACCAGGGTTTCCCAATGCCGGTCCTGCAGGGGCAGTCTGTGACGCAGTTTGCAAATATCCCTGCTGAGATGCCTTATTCAGCTCACCGGCTAATTGCCAGGTTTAGTAGGTGTGTCTGAGCAGGGAAATCTGCAAACTGTGTTGCAGACAGACCCTCCAGGACTGGAATTGAGGAACCCTGGTGTACACTGTACTAAAGTTATGTAATGTAAAGGTATTAAGAAAATTTGTTTTCATTAACCTTTGACCTGAATGATTCAATTGTTATTGCAACTTAATAGTGATTTCTGCTGAAGCTTATAGTTCCACTTTTCTACTGAAAAGTTAGTAAGCTCTAGTAGTAAGGAGGGATGGCTTGGTCTTTTCCTAATCTTGTCTTCCAGGTCATACTAATGGTATTAGGGTTAGCGTAATGCTGCGGTCTTCTCCTATGCCTGGATTAGTTGGTAAAGGAGACTTGTGCTGTGTGCAGGTAGAAAGCCTGGAGGCCCAGCACCACGAACTGCTCCAGACCCAGCTAGCCACCCTCAAGAAGGAGATTCTGCAGCAGCACAATGGGCTGACGGTCAATGGGCACACAGGGGAGCACCTTGGCCTTCCTGTCGAGTGCCATGGGGCGACGGGGGCCCTGGCTGTGTCTTTTCTGAACACAGAGCCGTCCGAGGAGCAGGGGGGGGGTGCGCTCACAGGAATTGAACTTGTGGAGGTGCAGCTGGGACCGGAGCAGGTGCAGCCTGCAGCTAAGACTGCAGACCTAGTTCCTGCCACCAGTCCTGTCTGCCCTGCAAAGCTGGCCCCGGAGCAGCAGGTGGTGCTGTCTCCCACGAAGCGCTTGTCTGACGCTGTGCATGAAGGCGAGGCCAAAAACAAACTGGCACGCACAACCTGACTTCTGGGCGTGCCTTCATCCTCCATTTCTCCTCATGGGTGCAGATCTGTTAAGATTTGTCTTTGTCTGCCTCTTAAGGATACCAATGCTGAACTGATGGCGGAAGCGCTCTGGAGATCTGCGTATGACTGTTGGGGGGGGGGCTCTCTCCCACACTGAGCAAACTGCTCTGTACCAGGGTACTGCTCTTTGGACACTTTTTATACCTGCTAGTATAGTTTTGTAAGCACAATGGTTCATGCTGTATTAAAGACATTTCCTGGACCGGAACCAAATTATTTATGTCACTGTATTTTAATTGTAATACTAAAAATGTTAGCCTTACACTCTTCCTCTCTTCCAAATTATACATGTTATTAGAAGTTCCACTGAGCTAGGAAGGGTCATCACTACTGTTTTACTAATAAATCCTCTTAAGCAGTCTGATATCTATTTAATGGTCCAATGTGAATAGTGATACGTCATTCATCCTTCTGGGGTTATTGTGTAATTTACAGGTAAGAGCCAGTTTTGGGGTCAGAGTATAGAGTTGGACAGGATCCAGTGCTTCGGAGCAATTAAGGCTAAGGGCCTTTCTCAGGGGCCAACGGTGACAGTGCGCTTCTGGCTACAGGATTTATGTAGGTAACCTTCCACTCCCAAGGTACAGAGTCACTGTGTGACTTAAAGTAGTGGACTGGTTATCAAACTGAGCATTCAAAGGAATGCTGTAAAGACTGACTGACACACAAACAGGGGGTACTGCTCATGGAGGACCGGTTATCAAACTCAGTATTCAAAGGAATGCTGTAAAGACTGACTGACCCGAACGGGGTACTGCTCATGGAGTGGGCTGGGCTAAAATAAAATACCGAAAGGTTGCACGGTTTGTTTTTTAAGGGGCTGTGAACAGGAGCATCTGAAACGGGAGATCTTGCATTCTGATGTTGCACATATGATAAAGTCTAAGCCTTATTTTAATGGAAGGAAATTTGTCAATCTTACAAGTTATTTGGCAAATGTGTCTAACATGTTAAACACTATCAATAACAGAATATCTGACTGAATCATCCAGAGTCTCCAAACGAGATCAAACTGACTCCAACTGTTCGATTTAATTTATTTATTGGTGGTTTTAAATTTGCTTATTGTAAACCAATATGAGAAGTGTGTTGTACAGGCAGAATTTATTATATTAACATGACTTTGCTTAATTGGAAATGTCTTCAGATGAATCATGACTAGTAAAGCTTTATCTTGAGTAACTATATAAGCACAGCAACAGCTAAAATAAAGCGGTATTTTTTTTTTCCCCGTTAAAAAGCTGGGTTCAAGTGGTATAAACTGGTATTCAGCATAATAGTCAACTACTTGTGATTAATCAATTCGGAAAATTATGGCCTATAAATAAAAAGTTTAAGAAACATTGACACATACTAAATATATTTAATATACAGCTATATAAAGATTTAGTTAAACGTCAACGTCAAATCTCAGTTTTATCTGACGTGAAAACCTAAATAAAATTCATGAGAGCATGCTTCTTTATTTAACAATTACCATTCACCATCGATCTGCATATCTTTGGGGAATTGCAAATATGGCGTGATCCTGTTGATTACTACGAGCTACATGCTGTATAAGTATTATTCACAACGCAAGGCGGGACACACCCGGTTAGGAGAAGGGGAAAAAGCGGTACGTATTTCTGGTTCGGAGACTTTTATGATGCTTCTGAATATCCGTAGTACGGAAGCTGATGGCGGTTTTGTTTCCACCGATGGACGTTAAGTAAAGGTGCGCTGCAATGTAACACGAATTTATTTTTTTTATTGTAGCTAATTCATATTTGACGGGATACGTTAGTTTATATTCTTTAGGAAATTGATGGTATTCGTTTAAACAGAGAGTAAAGAGTTATAGTTTCCAGTTGCAGTTTTGCTAAATATGTAGTTGTAATCTATACTATCGTAGGTTATAGTATTTTAATTCTGCCGAGAATCCTGTCGTGCTATGTCACTGTGCAGTTTCTTGTTTCAGTGGAAAACTATAGCTTGTTGTGGCTTTTGAAATGGCTAGCGTAACAACATTGGTAGCTGTATTTACTTGGATTGCCAGCTTCTATATTTTTGTAAGACAAGCATTTCATACTACGAAGCGATTGCATGAAACGCAGTCTCCGATAAACTGTTCCATAAACTGACGCTGTTTCTGGCATGTATCGGGTAACGTTAATGTTAATGATACTGGAATTCTACAATCGGTCCAGTCAGGTATGGCTCATCCTCAGCAGTCCGCGACGCTGCCGGGAGGGCCGGAGTCCGCCTCCGTAGGGGTTACTGTCAGCGGCAGTGTGCAGAAGTATGCCATCAAGAAGAAGAAGATCCTCAACGCCGAGGAGAGCGAGCTCTTCGAGCTGACCCAGGCAGCTGGGATTGTCATGGACCAAGAGGTCTTCAAGTAAGTCATGCCAGGATCGCAGAAGATCATCAGTTCACTTACTGTTACATATTAGAGAAATTTAACTTACAGAACTGAGTGAAGATAGCTCAGCTAAGAATTAGGTACGGCACCTGGTATTGGGGTATTTAAGAACTTGTCGTTGTAAGGTGAGCATTAACCATTTAGGATGAATCTGCTGCTCTATTGTTTGACCTAAACTGAACCCATAAAATTCCAAGAAATATAAGTGCTTTAACTTGTGAATTAATAAAAGCAATATCAGCAATTCAGAGTTGAGACTAGGAAATCCACCTGAAGCTAAGCAGGTTTGGGCCAGGCCAGTACTTGGAGGGGAGACCAACTAGGAAAGCTGGGATGCAGCTGGAAGAGGTGTTGGTGTGGCCAACCGGTTAGCCCATCCTGTGGCCTGTGTGGGTCCCAGTGCCCCAGTGCAGTGACGGGGACACTGTGGCCAACAGGGTAGCCCATCCTGTAGTCTGTGTGGATCCCAGTGCCTACTGGGTACAAAAGAAGGATGGATAGATAATAGATTAGATAGAAAGGTTTAACTGTTAAAACATCCAAACAGAAGTGAGGCAGGGGAGAGGGAGGTTCTGCAGAATACAACTCAATTCCACTGCTTTGATCAGTGCATGACCATTTGTGTTTTGTTGGATCCAGGGTCATTGTGGACCTACTGAAGATGAACGTGGCCCCGCTGGCTGTCTTCCAGACCCTGAAGGCCATGTGTGCGGGCCAGCGCATTACAGAGACACCAGCCGGGGACAGTTCTGTGACACCTCAGCCTCCCACGGCTCCCCCAGAAGCCAGAGGTCAGGCTTGTGTCTGGGGTTGGATGGCAGTAGCTGTGAGGGCCTGAGCCATTGCAGTCCTAGTTATTAGCCTGATCACATTTGTCCCTCTGCCACCATGACCTGCACTGCTTTGCATTTCAGTCATTGGTATTACATGAGGTGAGGATTTCATGTGGCAGGAATATGGGGCTAACCCTGTATCCATCCAGTGCTTACTTCGGATAGTCTTTACATCATACAAGTATTTAGGCACACATAGCTTTGGCAAATAGCATACATGAAAATTAATGGTGTGTGTGTGTGTGTGTGTGTGTGT